ATATACATTTTGTTGCTTTCCACAAGAACGTTATCAACATTTGTGACATGTTGCTGGCAATATCTGGCAATGATCAAGAGTGAGTTACCTATGTGGATTGTATATGTAAATAGATTGAAATACACAAAAATTGGTTCGAATTGAAAGTAAAGTGGAGATTCTGTTGTTTGAAAACACAGAAAATTGAGTTGGAAACCAATTGAATGTTTTAAGTTGGATAACAAAGATCCAACCTATATTCTTATTTTGTGAAATAACATTAATTCGTAATTATAAACTGATTTTCAACTATAGAAAATGGTTTATAAGTTTAATTTATTAATTATATATATTTTTGCTTATCAAAAAACAGAGAGGAGAGGAATGGAAGACTTGTTAAACAGGCCTACATTGACTGTATAGTCGCAGATGATGATGATATTTGCTTATGGCCAAATGTTTAAAGCAATTGTTCGTTGATCTTGACAGTACGCCATTGTCTCTTTTAATATTTTTTTTTTATACAGAAGTTACATTGCACTTAAAGACACAACTAACCTATAAGAGAAATTTAAAACTATAGTATGATAGGTAGATGCGGTTGGAGCGGATGTCGGTCTTGCAACAAGCGATTCGCTATAAAAATCTGTAAAATGTGAGCTTAGTCGTCAAAAGTGGTGCAATCTCTACTAAGCCCTATCTTTGTACCTATTACCATCGCATGGGTAATGATCAAATATGATTTATTGATATGAAAATATAAATATTTATTCAAAGCATATGGATGATATATCTGAAGGAGGTACTAGAGGCACTCGACACTTGAGGAATTTTCCCGCTCCGGCGAACGCACATCGGATCTGAAGGAGCGAAATTCATATATATGTAACAATAGGTCTATTATAGCAGAAAACTACGGCTTTATGCACCACAAGGAGATTAAGGAATTAAGAAGAATATGATAGTTTGTTAGTGTAGTGATAATTTATTATGTATTGAATATGTCAGCGTTGGAGTTAGTTATATAGAAGAGTAAAGGTCAGATGTTTTTAAGAAGTTTATGGTTTTCTGGATATTAGAGTGAGTTGGTGAGGTAAAAGTTTTGAAGAGATTTGATTCATTTAATCTAATTACAAACGATGGGTATTTATGACATCTCGTCAGAATGTGGGTAATGGTTAAATTAGTGTTGCATACTTGACATGTAGGTGTGGAGTGTTTTTGAAGATGTGGTCGTTTATTAACTTAGTATCCCTTCTAATAATATTTTACCTAAATTGTTATGAAAATTATAAATATTGAGCGATATAAAAAGTACCACTCGTTTTTTGGTACATTAATTCGTAATTAAAAACTGAATTTTCATCGATAGAAAATTATTTATTAATTTAGTTTATTAAATATTTTAATAGTTAATTTATATTTTCGACCTATACCAACTAGTCAGGTTTAAGGTCAGTTATTAAGCCTCCTCTACTGAAATCTCTTGTTGATTTGGCGTGCCCGAAAAATTAGAACCTCAACGAAATATCATATTATATTATATAGCCGTATCCCTTGGTGTAGCTACTTCTGTTATATAGTAACTGAATTGAGTTGTAGAAAAACTTCTTTTGTTAGAAGTTTAATAAAGTTTAATAAAAAAAAGAGATTATTTTTTTAATTATTTAATGATTACCATAATACAGTGAAACTTCTAGTTTTCACTGTATTGCTAGTTTTCATTTTTCACACAAAAATACATTCTTTTAAAGCGACGTTTTTTTCCCAGGTAGGATTACTGTTACAGCTTCGCTGGATTGGTCATGTCGTGAGAATGGATGAAGACGCTCCGGCGAAAAAGGTGTTTGAAGCAGTAGTCGGCGGAAGAAGACGTAGAGGTAGACCGTGTCTCCGGTGGAGTGATCAAGTTGAGGGAGCACTAACTGGACTTGATATACGAGACTGGAGATATACGAGACCCCTGCGCACGCAGCAGGGGCGCCTGGGGAGACATGCTGCGTCAGGCCGAAACTCGGTAACAAGTTGTTATGGCCACATAAGTAAGTAAGTAAGTAAGTAAGTAAGTAAGTAAGTAAGTAAGTAAGTAGGATTACTGTTACCATCGGTGTCTGCTATGGTAAAAAGTTTTTGCTGTGCTCGTTGTGATTTCAGGGATTACATAGACCAGAAGAACACCTGAAAAGTCGTTTCAGGAACACATACAAAGTAGAAAATATTTTGACCTTCTACCTTTTGATCTGTAGTGCGGAAAAGTAAATTAAATAAATAAACGAGAGGCTTTCTTAAAAATATTCTAACAAATTTATTCACTGATCTTAAATATATATTATTTCATTTGAACCTCTATACGATCAAAATATAATTTTTAAAAAAACTATACCAAACCACCAGGTATTATTTTTTTATATGATGAAAAAAAAATAACAAATCCCACTTCGGACTTACCTTCTCTACTTCCCGTGCACAGCAACTGCTCCACTTCCGACTGATTGATGACAATGAGGACCGCCCCTTTAATTTGCGCGTTTCAATAATAAAAAAGACTTGGATCAGTGGGTCTTGGAAAAATGCGATCGCTAGTTTGCAAAAGCGTTGAAGATAAATACGTGAAGTCTTTGCAAAATAGTGCCAGTGACTTGAAAATGAAAACTAATTATTTTTTAATATTTGTTTACTTACACTGCTAATAAAACGATTAATCAAAAAAAAAACAGTTTATCACAAAAATAAATCAATTATGTCAATCAAAGTTCTCAATAAACAACAACAATTTTCCTTAAAAATTTTACCGTTCGAATTTGAGAAAAAAAATATTTTGTTTATTATTTATTCAAGATTATTTGTTATTCTTACAGATTCTTTATTTAAATAGAAAAGTTTCTAAGATTAGATTAGAATCGCTTTTGTGTACATAACTCATAGTTAGGAATTAGAAAGTCATTAGTATCAGTGGTTTGAAGAAGAAGAATTGCAAACATTGAGTGAATTTCTCGATAATGGAAGGTGATGGGTTTAGGATAAATATGACTTTGCCTATATATATTACGGATAATTGCGTAAGCTAAAAATACAACAAAATCTTTTTTGACGGCTCCTTTCCTTACACGTCACGGAAATCAATAAGTACCCCGAAACAAACAAACACCTAGCTCAAGTAAAGTCCCGCTGTAATATAACAAAATCTCATTTATGGACAACCCTTCACACACACCACGAAAATTATTAAGAAATAAGTGGCTGCACTAGAAGTTTACAAGATAAGATTAAGTAGTATTAGTACTAATAATAGTAAAACACGATTGTTTTGAGAAACCCCATGGTTTCATAACGAAATTCCATTTAATGGGCCCTCTACTCACTCTTCACGAAAATTAGTAAAAGAAATGACTCCACTAAATGTTTACAAGGTTAGCTTAAGTAGTAGTAGTAGTAAACTCGATCCCAAAGGAGTCCTATTGTCTCATAAAAAAATTCCGTTTAAACAGACCCCTTCTCACATGTCATGTAAATTAGTAAAGAATCATTGGCTCAACTAGAAGATTTGATTAACTAGTAATAGATACAAACACTTAGCCCAAGAGAAATTCCATTGCACTATTATAATATCTCATTTAAAGAAACCTCTCCTCACACATTATGTAAATCAGTAGCTCAATTAGAGAGAATCTGTACCGTAGTCATTGCATGTCATATCTATTCTCAAGGCGTGACGACCTATAATATTTTTCTGATTTGTATGATCGCATTCAATAAGGTCATAGGATCCCAACTTAGTAATGCTATATTCAAAGCTAAATGTTACTATACCAGGTCAAGAAAAAAATATTCCAGTGTGTGTCGATGTTTCACTTGAACACTCTCCGCTTTTAATACCATCATATCAAAATTGTCTTCTCTTTAAGATCCTAATTTAGTGTGCTTATTGTGTTTAATTTTGGTTTTTTAATTGTTAGTTATTATATTCCAAGTAAATATTGGATGTTAAACCAAGATACAACAAATAAATCCATATTTATGTTCTTCCTATCCAGCTGATATGGTTGTTAAACTATGTTATTAGCTTACGCCGTTGTTGTTGTGGTAAGCCGCGGAGAAATGTGCTGATATTTGCCCTTTCAGTATGGTGAAAGGCATTTTATATGGTAGACGAAATAAACGAGTAGCCGTTTTGGAACCCACCATCCGATTATGAGCTCACTCACTGCCTTTTATAATCTCTTCACTTTAGCCACAAGAATAGTTATGGGCACATGATTATGAATTAGCTTCAGTTAATCAATGATTGAAGGTCTGTACACCAATTTAAGATTGATGATATGTAATAATATAATTTTACTCGACCCTATCCTACTATTCATCCTTATTCTTTGTTATAAGCAAACCACCAACATAGAAACCGAGATTTGCGTTGTTTGCTAGGTTCTCCAGAAACTCGTAAAACTTCGGGACGATGCAGAAAGTATATAAAAATCTGATTCTTTTCTAAGAAACTATGCAAATAAATATCGTACTTTACTAGCATGGAATACTAAGTTTAATTTTCTCTAAATTATACTAAAATATGTAGCTTTGAACAATTCAGACAACGATATTATTGTGTACAAAATATGCCTAGTTGCTAGTTAGTGAGACTAAATTGTGATGATGTGCTTAATTATAATAAATAAGTATAATAACTTGTTGGGATATTTTGTTTTCTTTCACAATAATTATATTTATTAAGGAATTTCGAAAACTAAATAAAATTCATTAAATTAATTTTATTTTAATATTATATATTTATAAGTGCAATAAGTTTTTATAAAAAGTTTTAATGTAATGTTTTAATAAAAAGAAATAAAAGAAATTCATTTTTAAAAATATTTACAATAAATGATGCATGCAAATTAATGTAAAAAATATGTAATTATAAATTAAATGATTTTGAAATTAATGCCTGCATAAATTTAAATTTGAACTAATATATGAAAATTAAATTAAGAGTAACTTAAATTTCAACTTAAATGTAAAAAAGCAAATTAAAATTTGTTCTGGAAACCACGTTCTTTGCGTCTAAGCAACGTTTGAGAACTTTCCCTTTGTATGTTCTTGCGAAATAGAGCTCTATTTTTAAAATTAAGAGCGCTCTCCTTACTTAACTGTAGGCTATCAACTTTCTTGCCTTTTTTTAAATTCACAATTTCACCTGTTGACAAATCTTCCTCTATAAATTGGCCTGATTGAGTCCATTTTGGTTTCGGTAACGAATGTTTCGGTTCCTCGATATAACGTTTGCGTTTGCGGCTTTTACGAGATGATGTAGGAGACAAATCCTGGCAGTTACTTTCTACCTTAAAGCCGACACATTTTGGTGTAAATGGACTTTCTCTAAAACCATTTACTATTGCTTTACGACACGGTGTCATGGGTTCGACACAAACAGTTCCAGTTGGCAAATTAAATGTGGTAATGTGAATTTTCTTTTTTGGTGTAATGGGTGTTTCTATTATATCCCCAGCAGAAGATTTTATTTTATGTACTTCATTCGATGTCTGTGCTTGATCTTCAGATTTT